CACAGTGAGACTCTGTCTCAAAAAAAAAAGAAAAAGAAATGAAGCAGATTTGTCAAATTGGTGAATGACATGAAACTGAGAAGAAGAGGAAATAGATTGGATTACATAATTAGGAAGAAAGGTTCTCAACAGACTGACTTCATATGATAAAATTTACCTGGGATAATGATTCATCCATTCATTCTGCAACAGTTATTGAGCACCCATTATATGCCGGGCATTATTCTAGGTGCTAGGGATACAGTAAACAAGAGAGACACATTTCTGCTCCCATAGGGCTAGCATAGTGAAGAAGAAAGACCATAAACAAACCTCCATATAGTGTATGAGGGAAACACATTGGATGCTGTGATAGATGTGGGGTGGGGTCTACTTCTGGTCAAAGAAGCCCACTTTAAAGAGGTGACATTGCAGTGGAGAAATAAAAGGAGAGAGAGATCTGGCTGTGCAAAGGGAGCAGCAAGAGCAAAAGTCCCAGGCAGGAATGACTTATAGAATTCCAGGAACAGAACAGTCAGAAAGGCCGGAGCACAGTGCCTGGGAGAGAGCCTCACGTAACGAGGTGCGGGAGGTCGGCAGAGGCCAGCTCCTGAAGACCTTATATATCGTGGAAAAGAATCTGGCTTTTTGCTGGGCGCAGTGGCTCATGCCTATAATCCCACCACTTTGGGAGACCAAGGTGGGAGGATCGCTTGAGGCCAGGAGTTTGAGACTAGTTTGAGCAACACAGCAAGACCCCCATCTCTACAAAAAATAGAAAAATTAGTTGGGCGTAGTGGTGTGTGCCTGTAGTCCCAGCTACTCAAGAGGCTGAGGCAGGACGATCGCTAGAGCCCAGGAATTTAAGGTTGCACTGAGCTATGACGATGCCACTGCACTCTACTCTGGACAACAGAGCAAGACTGTTCAAAAAAAAGAATTGGGCTTTTGTTATTAAATGTGCAACAGGAAGCTATGAGAAAGTATCCCATTTTCTTATTGCAACAGGTAGGTACCAATCTAGGAGCTTTTTGAATGTTATTTATTTTGATCATCACAATCCAGAAAGGTAGATTATTGTTTTCCCCACTTGAGGAAACTGAGGCTTAGAGAGCTAGAATCATTTGGCTGAGATCAGAGCCAGGAAGCTCTCCCTGTCCGCCACCACTGAGCTGCAGTCTCCTCCTCCTTGGCTCCGGCTTGACTCAGGCTCAGATGCCCCCTGCTAATCTGCACCAGGTTCTCCAGCCAGTTCATCTGGACCACTCGGCAATGCGTTTGGGTTGGCTGCCTGGCCCCATCTTCTCCCTATCATTGTTTCTCTCTCCACACCCTGTATGACTGCTTGACGCCACGAACCTGCTCCCCTGGCCCACTGGACTTCTCGCAATTGACGAACTCACCCTACTCACCCACCCTCACCCTGTGCCTCTGCCCCAAATGCCCCTCCTTGCCACTTGTCAAATTCCTGCACATCCCTCAAGAATTCTCCTCGATCCTCTGAGGCAGGCTTTGGTGCAGCAAAAGGCTCTGCATAATATGCTAGTTTTCCTCATATTGTTTATTTCTCCTGAGCTCTGGGCTTTTGAAGAGATATTAGCACCGACTTGGGTGTAGTAGTGGTCCAGGAGAGAACAACGTTAGCAGATGGCACCATAAACCCAGCTGGCTGTCGGCATGTTTGGGAGCAGAATACCAGTCCTTGGGGAGAGGTAGTGGCACCTATCAGTCAGGATTCTCAATCCTGACGAGACTAGCCAGCCCCAGCCAGGATCTCAACAAAACAGAAAAGACCAAAGCCCAATAAAGACAATCTGGACACGGTATCAGGGACTAAGCCTGGAGGATCTGATCAAATAGCCTCAGCAGTGGAGAGAGGAGGGCTGAATGGGTTGGGAATTGGGCAGGTTCTGACAGCGGATATGCCAAACCAGCTGTTTATTTAGGAAAAAATAATTTAAAACTGTATTAGCCCTTAACTCAATGGATCAGAATCAAAAAGAAAGAAATTGCAAATTAAAGTCATTTGATCAGACAATGAATTAAATAAATAGAAATAAAAAAGAAGGAGTGAAAAAAAGACATTTTAAAATCTGGGAGATATTATTCTTAGCTGGTTTCATAATTATTCTGCCAACAAAGTGAAATGCAGAAAAGGTTCCGAGAGGATGTTAAGGACTAAATATTGGTGGGTCCCACATTCACACCAGGTCTTTGGGCAAACTGTATTAAAACAGGAATATTTAATTACTTAAATAATAAGCAATAGCATTACTTAGACAGATAAAACTAATTGAAGTACCACATATGTTTGTAAATGGAAAAATGTAAATCATATGATACCCAAGAG